TAGATACCTTAAGGACACTCCTAGTTTAGGACTTTGGTATCCTAGAGACTCTAGCTTTAGCTTGCATGCTTTTTCTGATGCGGATTATGGAGGATGCAAATTAGATAGGAAAAGCACCTCCGGTACTTGCCAATTCCTTGGAAATATGCTGATTTCTTGGTTTTCAAAGAAACAAAATTGTGTTGCATTATCTACCACTGAAGCCGAATACATTTCAGCTGGTAGTTGCTGTGCACAAGTTTTATGGATGAAATAACAACTTTTTGATTATGGAATTGAAGTAGGTACCATTCCTATCAAGTGTGACAATACTAGTGCTATTTGTCTCACTAAAAATCCCATCCAACACTCTAGAACTAAGCACATTGAAATAAGACATCACTTCATTAGAGACCATGTCACTAAGGAAGATGTAGTTCTAGAATTTGTTGATACTTTGCACCAATTAGCGGATATCTTTACAAAACCCTTAGACAAGGAAAGATTTTGGACACTTAGGAGAGAATTAGGTTTGACCAACCTATCTTCACTTAGTGTTTAAAATAATTTTAGCACTTTTAATAAATCTTGAAAAATGCTTATAATAATAATTTTTGATTGCATTCTTGCTATTAGTTAGGGGGAGTTTGTGATTCTTAGTGAAAATTAATTTTATGTTCAAAAATCGATTAAAGATTAATTTAATTGTTTGAACATAATTAATTTTTGATATATGAGTTGCCAATACCACTAGAAAAGATTAATTTAGCATTTTGTGCTTAAAAATCGGATTTTAGCATTTTGGTGCAGAGGGAATCGATCCCCCCCTGAGGGAACCGATTCCCCCTTTGAATGGGAACCGATTCCCCCCACAGGGGAATCGATACCCCCCTGGGGTTCTGTTAAAATCGGGCAGAACACCCCCAAAATTCCCAAAACCCTTATATTTTCTTCAAACCGTTTCTCACCCTCCTCAAACACTCAAATCTCATTTCTTGCCTCAAATCATCGATATTAATCGGAATTCGCTTCAAATATCATCTTTTAAACCTGTTGGAATCATTAAAATCGTGCAAACAACATCTAAATCCCCTCAATCTTCATCTTTCAAGGTAAATTTTTCTAAACTCTTTATTTCATTATTTTTGAACATAGGATTAGTTTCAATTAGTTCTAGGTTGAAATAGTGATCGGGCATTGATTATTTAGTGATTAGAAACTATATTTTTCAAAAGTTTTTCAAAAACTTTGCCCATTAGGATTGATTTAGAGAACCTTGAAATATTGAGGACTCAATTGAGTTTTGGGATTAATTGAATTGCATACATTTGTTTTAAAATTGCAGGTTATTTGATATATTCCGATTTCCTTCACCATGTCCAATCCTAAACGTCCTAGGTCTTCATCTAGTCGTTCTAGTCGTCAACCAAATCCTCCTCCAAATCCTCCTTCTATTCCAATTTCTAATCCCAATCCCTCTGATCCTAACTTGACTATTCAAAATTCGTGTTTCAATCATCCTGGGTCTAGAAATCATCGATTTTGGTATTATCAATATTTCGATTCTTCCCATTTTACAAGAATGGAAATTTGATAAACTATTTGATCTTGAACCCATCGTTTACCATCAACTTGTTTGTATATTCTACTCTAATGCCGTTTGTGTTAAAAATCAAGATGAAACCGAAACCATAGGAATTCGTTCCTACCTCCTAGGACAATTCTTATATATTGACCTGGCATATATAGCCAATACATTTGGATTAGATAATGATGGTATTTCGAATGAAAAACAAATTTTAGGTTCTCGTTATAAAAGAATAGATAGTGCGAGTGTCTTGGACCTACATGAGTGTTTTCTTCATCTAATGATTTCTTGGTGGTTTCGACCATTCGGAGGTCGTTATTCTACTCTTAGAGCTTTGAATCTTTGGTGGTTACATTGTTTCGAAAACCGTATTAAAATTAACCTACCTTAGATTATTTTTGCTGAAATTGTTGAAACCGTAAATCTTGTTCCTAACAAGAAACTCTGTTCATCTCTAGTTTACGGTTGCTTTTTGAGTAATCTGTTTTCCAAAGCTGGGCTTAGAGTCGGTCTAGATGCCGTTTTTCCTCTTAAGAAACAAATCAATATTCTTTCCTTAACGAGAGCGGGATGGGTAAAGAACAAAGAAACTGGTGAATGGGTTCGATCTTCTACACATACTCCGGGAGCTAGTTCTTCACAAGCTCCACCTGAAACTGACGAAGATCCCGAGCTTGAGCAACTAATGCAAGATATCGATGAAGCCGAAGATGAGCCTGATCAACCCGAAGAGCAGCCCGAGGAGCAAGCACAACAAACGCATCAAATGCCTCCATATTTTCAATCCTTTATGGAGACATTCGATTTCCGATACGCTACCATGGACTCGCGCTTTTCCTCTATAGAGTCTCATTTATCCACAATGGAAGCTCAACAATTAGAGATTCTTCGGGAGATGCGTGCAAACAATGAATCAACCAACGCTCGTATCAATGAACTCACTCACGAAATGGCCGCTATGCGAGCCCGTTTTCCTCCTCCCGATACGGATGTTTGATTATGTGTTTAGTTTAAAACTTTATTGTTTCAACATTATATTTTGGATTGTTTGATTTTGTGGATTGTTGGATTTTGGATTTATGAATGGTGTGAACTTATATGTTTGGTGTTTTATTCATTTTTGCATCATTTACATCATCATTAGCAATATGACCAATTTTGCCATATCACATTATTTATGAATATTGATTTATTAAACTAATGGCTAACCTCTATTTTGATTGTGATCTTAGCAGCTTAAGCTTATAATTAATAAATCAATTGGCTAAATGATTTCAAAACCTTGTTTTACAATGTCTTTTTGATTTAACAAAAAGGGGGAGAAGAATAAGTGTTAAATGTTTTACATGATAAATTGAAGAAGTGTTAAAGTGAGGGGGAGTAATTTCAAAACTTGATTTCAAAAATCTTAAAATTACTAAAATGTTTTGTTATATCAAAAAGGGGGAGATTGTTGAAACATTTTGATATTTCGATATAACAAATTAAGTTAAATGGATTTTAAGATTTTCCAAATGATTTTCTAAGTATATTCGATATAACTATTCGAATATCAAATCATTACTCCAAATATTTCAAAAATCATTTTTAATCCTTACTTAAGTGTAAAATTAAGTTTTAATCATAAAACAATTTCAAAATAATTTTACAAAGTATTTCGAACCAATTCAAAGTCAAAAATTCCAGACTGCTCAGAGGGAACCGATTCCCCTCCATAGGAGGAACCGATTCCCCCCTAAACAGTTTTGTTCCGAGAATTCCAGTATGCTCGGAGGGAACCGATCCCCCCCAAGGGGGTACCGATTCCCCCCTTGTACAACGGTCGAAATATTTGAATTTTACACTTAGGAACCGATTCCCTTCAAGGGGGAACCGATTCCCCCCACACTCCAAGCTGTTTTATTAAATGTTTTCACACTAAAACGGCTATAATATCTTCTCTAATCATCCCCAACGTTCAGAAGTGATCCAAGGTGTATTTAAGCAAGCTTAGAAGCCATTGATCAATAACAAGAAACATCAAGCAACTAGAATCAAGAGAGAATCAAAGAGAAAGCATCAAACCTCAAGTTTGAGCATTTCAAGCCTATTTTCATTCAATATTCATTTTGCTTTCAAAAACACTTTTTGTGCTCAATTGTATTCATCTTTGAGTGTTCTTTTCTTTGTTCTAGAATTGTGCAAACATCTTACCTTGTGAGGTTTTCTTGTAAGTTTGCAAATTTGTAATCTTCTCTTTGAGAAAAGAGTGTTCTCAAGAGTTGGGGTATACTCTTGAGGGAATTGTAAGGTTATCTCTTTGGCCTCAAAAGAAAGAACAAATTAGTGAATTTGTTGGAAAATTCTTAGTGTGGATAGCTAAGGTAGTGGACGTAGACTTTGTTTGAGAAAGTCGAACCACTGTAAATCGCTGTGCAATTACTTTCAATTTTCTGCAAAAGCTTTCACAAAATTTTTATTGCCAATTCACCCCCCTCTTGGTCAATTTCGTCATTCGATTAACTCAACAGTTAATCACCCTTTCTTTTAAAACACGGTTTTGGAATTATATTTCGAAGAATGCTCGGGTTTTGAACTATGTTAATTATAAATGATGTATGTAAGATTTTGTGTTAAAAGATAAATTTATAAAATTTTAAGTCGTGAATTTATTCAATTTTAAAGACAAAAAATAAATTATTAATAAAAAATATATAAAAAATATTTAAATTACGTGAGGATTGAAAATTTTCGGAAGTGATTTTCCGTTCCATCCCTGAACTTATAAAATGTAGCGTCTTTGTAAAAGGTAACTATTCATAAAAATCTTTAATTTCGTTTTCAAAACTGATCTGTAAAATTAAAAATCTTTTCATCCATTTAAAAATAGTTTTAACACTATCTTTTTAAACTATTGATGAATATATATATATATTTGTGAAAAATGATAATTTCTTATTTACTTTCACAAATATATATGGAAGGTGAACATATTGGGTCAATATCTAACTATAATTGGGCCAAGATGGATTGGATCTAAACCCTGAATGAAAGTTGGCGAAGATATGATATGTTTGCAGAATATTATTTTATGTGTGTAATTATTGATTATACTAATATAATAAATAATATATTTTCTTATTATTCAAAGTCGATTTTTTATAAATCACATATAGATTATAGATGTATTATTTTATACTAATTTAATATATATGTGAAGAAATTGTAAAATAATCAAATCTGGCTGTATTTCCTGGACTTTCCAAACTTTTCCATCCTACTGAACACTTTATCCAACAGCTGTTGCAAAATAACTTGTCAAGACATGTTCTTATATATATATATATATATATATATATATATATATATATATATAATCTTTGATCCAACAAAGGATTATATATTGATACAAAGTATTTTTTTAATAATTAAATATTTAAATCTGACACTCATGGATCTGTTATACTGTGGAGCTCTAATTAGTTGTTTTTTAAGCCTTTCAGTTTCAAAGTTGCGGCTTTAGTCCTTTGTATGTTAAGCAGCTTAAGCTGATGAAGACAAAGCAAAAGGAAATAAGAAAAATCCCATTTTTCTGCAACTTTTAAAGCTTTTATCTTTAGATTCTATCCCCCCCTTTTTTTAAAGATGAACCCATTTCAGCTCTTGTTCTCTTGAACCCTAAAGTAAAGTTTGTTCCTTGATCTACTTTTGTATGTTGGTCAGAACATGCATTGTAAAGGTTAGCTCTTTCTGTTTTTAAGTTTTTAGATGAAGTTTTGGAAGTTTGGAAGTTTGGGTGGTTGGTGTTGGATGGATGTATGTGGTTTCTTTCTGGTTTTGATCTGCATCTGGTTTGGTTTTTTACTTTTAGGTCCCGGAATTTTTTTATTTGACCTTCCTTTACTGTTTCAAGTGATTTTTCAGCTGAACTGCTCTTTTCTTTTTAAGGATACTTCTGCCTTTTTCTTTGAATTCAGGTTATTGGAAGATGATAAATTGGGGATGAAAAGATTGAGAATTGTAGCTCCTATGAAAATTTTAATTTTTTCTTCTTCTTCCAAGTTTACAACTATTGTTTCTTAAACTGGTGCATTATTGAGTTGAATAATTCTTGTTAATGGCATAACTATATATATTTCAATTCTTTTGGAGTTCAGTCTTGGTTTGTAGGATAGATGTTAGTAGCCTTTAGTAGAAGTAAGCATACCGAAGATGCAGACTTGAGAAAGAGCTGGATGTGCAGTTTATAGTGCAAGTACAGTTCTTTATTGATTGTATTCTGAATTTGGATTTTTGTTTTGCTTTGAGTATGAGTTTTTCGATTTCGTTTTGTTATATCCGAACTAATTATACATATTCTGATTGAATAAATGTCATAACGGGTTTGGCATATCTTTTGAAATGTTGGGGAATATACTGATTTCACATTTCCATCCGTATTCCGTAGTAACGGGAACAAAGATTCAATATATCTGTTATACCTTGCTAGCAAAAGTGCACAAAAATTGAAGAAAGAAAAAAGGTTTGAAGTTTATCTTTTTGTGTGATTTTGTCAATTGAATTATTGGACATTCCTGGAAGCTGTAAACGAAGTTATTTTGCTTTGTGAGAAGAAAGAAAAAGAAAGGGGGTGAGGGATGCTTAAAGCATCATGAAAGAGCATAGTTAGTGCATGCTTATTTTAGGGTAAGATAGAGTTACATTTTTGGAAACCTTTATGTTTGAAACCAACCTATTAACAGCTCATGTATGATTTAGGAAAGAAGTTTTAAGAATCCTTCTAAGAATGATTTGCAGGTTTTAAGATCTTTGGAGCTCTGAAATGTATATTGACAAACAATGTCTGGTTGCAGCATCCGTTTGAGGAGAAAAATAACTATTGTCGTGTTAGTGTTATCATCGTTTGTATAAATCAATTATAGTGACTCATCTGTTAGGGTTTATCTTTCTTTTCTTTGAGGATCAGTTTCCATCACATATACTGATAGTATGGTATGATTAAATAGGAAATCCTTTCTCTTGTTATATCTGAACCATATTCCATATCTATGATGAACTTGTTTCCGGTTGAATAAATTGATTGATGTTAATCCAGTTGGTTTCTTGATTTTGTGGTGTCATAATCCGTGCACGTCATATAACTGTTGGGTGGTTTGATTCTAAAGCATTTATTATGGGGGGATATATCTAATACCATTTATTATTGGTCACATATAGATTGTGCGAAGTGGGATCACATTTAGCAGATTTCATTCAGTGCAGATACAGAAGATCTACATGATGACGGATTTAAGGGGTCACATGATGAGCTCGACATTTTTATGAATGTTTTCTTTGGAAATGATGGTGGCAGCACAATGTGATGAATTGAGATAGTTTAAGGAATTAGAGAAGAAGAAAGCGTAGAGAAAAGAGTAGAATAGAGATACAGAAATAAGATTTCATTCAAAAATATGTCTGATTGCCTTTACACAGTACGTTGTTTTATTTGTTTAAGGTACCAACAAATCTAACTAAATGCCAGCTGTAGATTCCTGCATAACCGCTTTGTTATTTCTTCAGGTATTGGGCCCCCAACTGGGCTGACTGCTTGCTCTTGGACTCAGCTCTCCTGATGGGTAATTCTCTCCTTGTGCTTCTCACGTGATCATTAATCAGGTAACTCATCCCCAATTCATTATCAATCCCTAACCCTTGATTTCCATTTCCCCCAATTTCCTCTTTGTCTCCTTCGCTTCTTCTCTCTTCTCTCTCGATCGTGACAATACCCACCGCTGGAGACGATCCTTGTCCCCAAGGATCAAAGCCTGGAAACTGGCCACGAAGGACAGTATAATCCTCCCAAGTATCGTGTGTTTCGTCAAGGTTTGTCCATCGTACCAACAACTGAGTCACTGGTCTGTTTTGACGATTAATGATTCGTCGTCCCAAAATTTTATATGGCTCTATTTTGAACTGATCTTCTGTATCCATGGCAGGAGGATCCGTAGAGGAAACGACAGAGTCTCCAATATGTTTCTTCAAAAGACTGACATGAAAGACATGATGCAACCTCGATGTCTCAGGTAAGCTCAATCGATAAGCAACTTCCCCGATTCTTTCTGTAATCTTATATGGCCCATAGAACTTCGCTGCTAACTTTAAATTCTTTCGCAGGGCTAATGTCGTCTGTCGATAAGGTTGCAGCTTCAGGTAAACAGAATCCCCAACTTCAAAAACTCTTTCTGATCTGTGCTTGTCTGCTTTTTGTTTCATTCTGTTACTTGCAATCTCAAGTTGTTCCTTAACTAACATTCGCATATCCTCTCTGCTGCGCATTAATTCATTGACAGACTGCACTTTAGTTTCTGTGTACCAAACCATAGTAGGTGGTTTGTACCCATAAAGTGCTTGAAAGGGTGTAATCTTTAGGGCAGAATGGTAGGCAGTATTATACCACTATTCTGCATGAGGCAACCATTTAGCCCAATGTCTTGGTTGAAAAAAACATAAGCTCCTTAGGTATTGCTCCAAACACTGGTTAACCCTTTCTGTCTGACCATCAGTCTCTGGATGGTAAGCAGCACTAAATAGTGTTTTAGACCCCAATTGTTTCATTAGCTCTCTCCAAAAGAGACTAGTGAATGTTTTGTCTCTGTCAGAAATAGCTAATTTAGGCTGTCCATGAAGCTTATAGACATTATCCAAATATAGTTTAGCCACATCAGCTGCAGAATAAGGATGTGATAATGCTAAAAAATGGCTATATTTGGTAAATTTATCAACTACTACCAGAATGCAATTCTTTCGCAAGGATTTAGGTAAACCCTTTATAAAATCCATAGTGATTACCTCCCAAGCCTGTTGAGGAATAGGTAATGGCTGTAAAAGCCCTGGTTTAGGAACATGCTCCACTTTAGTCTGTTGACATACAGAACAAGACCTGATATAAGTTGCCACTATAGATTTCAACTTGGGCCAGTAGAAACAAGCTTTAATCTTCTGATAAGTAGCCTGAATTCCTGAATGACCCCCATGAGGTGAATCATGTAGGGTTTGAAGAATCTGCAATCTTAGAGCTCCAACAACCCCAATATAAACTCTATCCTTAAATCGAAGGATACCTCTAGAGTATTTCCATCTAGAATCTTTATTAGGATTGACAGTTAATACAGAGATCCATTCAGTAGCTACTGAATCCTCCTTATAGCTGTCCTCAACCTGTTGAACCCAACTAGGAATCACCAAGGTAGTACCCATTGCAAAACAGTGAGCTTGATCTTCCCATTGTCTAGAGAGTGCATCAGCCACTATGTTGGATTTACCTTTTCTGTATTGAATAGCATAATCCAAGCCCAATAATTTAGTTAACCCTTTCTTTTGAATGGCAGTGGTTAACTTCTGCTCCAACAGATATTTGAGAGGTTCATGATTTGTTTTAATAATAAAAAGAGTGCTCTCTAGATAATGCCTCCATTTAGAGACTGCTAGTAGAATAACCAAGTACTCTCTTTCATATATGGAGAGTGCAGCATGTCTAGGGCTAAGAGCCTTACTAAGGTAGGCAATAGGTCTGCCATCCTGAGTTAAAACTGCTCCAATGCCTCCTGAACTGGCATCTGTTTCCAAATAAAACTGCTTAGTAAAATCTGGTAAAGCTAGAACTGGAGCAACACACATGGCTTGTTTCAAGTCTTCAAAAGCATGTAAAGCTTCACTGCTCCATTTAAAATTATCCTTCTTAAGCAGTTGTGTCAATGGTGTTGAAAACATTTTGATATTTCGATATAATAAATTAAGTTAAATGAATTTTAAGATTTTCCAAATGATTTTCTAAGTATATTCGATATAATTATTCGAATATCAAAACATTACTCAAAATATTTCAAAAATCATTTTTAATCCTTACTTAAGTGTAAAATTAAGTTTTAATCTTAAAACAATTTCAAAATAATCTTTCAAAGTATTTCGAACCATTTCAAAGCCAAAAATTCCAGATTGCTCAGAGGGAACCGATTCCCCCCAAGGGGGTACCGATTCCCCCCTGAACGGTTTGGCTCCGAGATTTCCAGAATGCTCGGAGGGAACCGATTTCCCCATAGGGGGTATCGATTCCCCCCCTGTTCAACGGTCGAAATATTTGAATTTTACACTTAGGGAACCGATTCCCCATAGGGGGTACCGATTCCCCCCACGCTCCAAACTGTTTTATTAATTGTTTTCACACTAAAACGGCTATATGATCTTCACTAATCATCCCAACGTTCAGAAGTAATTCAAGGTGTATTTAAACAAGTTCTGAAGCCCTTGATCAACAAGAAATCATAGAGAAACAAGAGAGAAAGCATCAAACATCAAGTTTGTGCAAATCAAGCCAATTTTCCTTTCAATATTCATTTTGCTTTCAAGAACACCATTTGTGCTCATTTGTAATTATCTTTGAGTGTTATTTTCTTGTTCTAGAATTGTGCAAACATCTTACCTTGTGAGGTTTTCCTTGTAAGTTTGCAAATTTGTATTCTTCTATTTGAGAAAAGAGTGTTCTCAAGAATTGGGGTATATTCTTGAGGGTGTTGTAAGGTTATCTCTTTGGCCTCAAAAGAAAGAACAAATTAGTGAATTTGTTGGAAAATCCTTAGTGTGGATAGCTAAGGTAATGGACGTAGACTTTGATTGAGAAATTCGAACCACTCTAAATCGCTGTGCAAATTTTTTCAATTTTCTGCAAAAGCTTCCACCGAATTTTTAATTACCAATTCACCCCCCTCTTGGCTAATTCCGTCGATCGATTAACTCAACAATTAGTATCAGAGCCTAACTCATTTGAAGGTTTAATCGTCTCTTGAGTCGATTCAGGAAGAGTTATATCGATTATCAAAGTCATCAATGGCCTCCGCTTCAAACTTCGACTCCGGTCTTGATTCGATGTCCGTCAACAAGCCTCCTTTCTTCAATGGAGCTAACTATGCCTATTGGAAGAATAGAATGATGTACTTCATTCAAGCAAGTGACATGAGAGTATGGAATGCTGTAGAAGAAGGATACATCAAACCTCTCACTCATCCAAGGTTGTGGAGTGAAGGAGAGACAAGAATGTTCCAGCTCAATTCCAAAGCCATCCATATCATTTTTTGTGCTCTTGGACCAGATGAATACGGAAGAGTTTCATCGTGTACAATCGCCAAAGAAATATGTGACAAACTTCAAGTCACTCATGAAAGTACCGATGAGGTAAATAAATCTAAAATTAGTATTCTAACGCATAGCTATGAAAATTTCAGGATGAAACCAAATGAAGATATCAAAGCTATGACGGATAGATTTTCAACGATTGTCAATGGTCTCAAATCATATGGAGAGATTATTTCAAATGAAAAGCTTGTGAGGAAGTTAGTCTACTCCCTCCCAAAATCGTGGCAATCAAAGAAGACGGCAATCATCGAGTCTAAGGACTTAACGTCCTTAACTCTTGAAGAGCTAATTGGGTCACTCCTCACTCATGAAATGATGCTCGAAGATGAGGTGGACCTCGACAAAATTGACGAGACACCAAAGGAGGAGAAGAAGAAAAACATTGGAGTTGCTCTCAAATCCACAAAAGATGAGAGTGATTCGAATAACGATGACGATGACGAGGAAATGGCATTGTTTGCCAAACGGTTCAGAAAAATGATGAGACCTTATCGAGGAAGAAAATTCAAACGAAATGAAAGCCTAAAAAATGAACCGAAAGAAAAGGACCCAATCATTTGCTACGAATGCAAAAAGCCAGGGCATGTTAAATATGATTGCCCACATTTGAAGAAAAATGGTCAATCAAAGAATAAGCACAAGGTTCATGTGGCTACATGGAGCGATGAAGAAAGTTCCGATGAAGAGGAACAAGAAGTAGCTAACTTGTGCTTGATGGCATTTGGGGGAGATTCTAAGGTAACCTCTAACTCATCCGATTTTGATGATTTATCCTATGCTGAGTTATTAGAGGAATATAATGGGTTGGCTTCGGATTATGAGAAATTATTTTTAAAATATAAAAATGATGTTTCAAAATTGAAAAATGAAAACAAACTCGTATCCAAAACTAACAACGATCTTGAAAGTAAAATCAAAGACTTGCAAATCAAACTAGAAGAGTTTGAAAAGAAAAATTTAGATTTGCAAAATTTACTTTCAAAGATTAATGATGATCATCATAAGAAAATTGATGATCTTAAAACTTCTTTTGATAAAGTTGGAACAAAACATTTTGAAAAAGGTGGAAATTCAAAATCCAACTTTGTTAGAAAAAGTTTTAGAAACTACAATCATAGAGATCTCCAAAGAACCTCTAATGGAAAAATCGTTTGAAGTATGTGGGTTCCTAAAGAACTCATTACTACTAAAGATAAAAATATCCTACACAAATAGATACCTAAGGGGATTAGGATTTTGGAAACTAATGAATATGGACCCAAAAGAATTTGGGTACTAAAAATCAAAAATTAATCTATGATTGTAGGGAAAGGAGCATTGCTACAAGGCACGGGAAACAAATTCAAATTCATGGTACCTTGATAGTGGATGCTCAAGACATATGACCGGAGACAAAAGTCGGTTCATTGAGCTTAACGCCAAAAATGGAGAAGTGACTTTTGGAGACAATTCAAAAGGTCACATTGAAGGTATTGGTACAATAGGTAATACCTCTTCCATACAAATTAAGAATGTTTTATATGTGAATGGATTAAAGCATAATATATTGAGTATTAGTCAATTATGCGATAAAGGATTCAATGTCTTATTTGAAATTAATGGTTGTAAAGTCATTGACATTGCATCTAATCGGATTATGCTTGTTGGTCATAGAATAGGGAACATTTACATGGTGCATTTAGTTTCTTTTGATATGACTAATTTATGCCTAGTTGCTAAAGATGAACATGGTAGTTGGTTATGGCATAGGAGACTAGGACATGCTAGTATGAGTGTTTTGCAACGGCTAATTCAAGGTGATTTAGTTCGAGGGTTGCCTAAGCTTAAATTTGATAATGATAAAATCTGTGATGCTTTTGCTAAAAGAAAACAAAAGCGTGTTTCTTTTAAATCTATTAATGACGTATCAACTAGTAGAGTATTACAATTAATCCATGTAGATCTTTTTGGGCCAACTAGAACTACTAGCTTGGGTGGAAAACAATATGCATTTGTCTTGGTAGATGACTATTCTAGATATA